GGGGGGGAGGGGGATTTCGCAGTTTCACAGCACTTCGACTATTTTTTTACAGACTGAAGTGTAAAACAGTGAAAACTCTTAACAGCAGACGTCCGCTGGGTGGAACTGCGCAAAACGCGTAATAGCACTGGTTACCCTGGTGCCTGCCTCTATTTACTGTATTAGTATTAATGGTAGGTTATGGAAACAAATACTGAACTGCTGGAAATCACTTTTTTTACCGTCGAGTTATGGGATCAGTAGGAACTATTAAAAATGCTGTGGAAGAGGTTGTTTATCATATTTGCAGATTAGCCCGTGATCGTTTTTCTCCTGCCGGTCTCGTGGCGTGAAGAAAAATAGTCTTTATACACATCTTTTCATTCTTCCGGAAAAAAAGACTTCAATTTGGGCTGGAAGAGTAGAGATGAGGAGGGTAATAAGATGGAGAAGTGTAACGTGTGAGTTATTTTGTTTTAGGGGACGTGAAGCCTTCAAATGAAACGTTTATGCCTTTTATGCGTTTTGTGCTGCAACAGTTGCATAAGATATACAGTGCCGAAACTTTATCTGTGTGTTTGTGTATTTGTGCATTTACGTGTGTGTTCAGAATGTGTTTTATCCGGACTTTTCAATTTGGGAACCAGGAAGCTAGAAAGCTGAATTTTTGGGGAATTTCCCTCATCCGTATTTGATCCCGTAGACTGAAGTTCAGCTGCTACGTGTGCCCAGATCTCAGTCGAATAAGAGGATACAAAATAATTTTTGTCCAAGACAATGCATGCTATTGGAGCCGTGGAATGGATTGGCTGATTTACTAAAAAATATTGCTCATGTGTGTGATTTCTTTTTCTAGGAAATTCGTGAAAGGAGCGGTCTGGAGCACAGCCAAGATCTGTCCTCACTGGTGATCAAACCGGTACAGCGAATTACTCGATATCGGCTGATGCTTGAGCAGCTATTGAAGAACTGTAAAAATAATGTCGATGAATTAAGGGTCTGCATTTATCAAATTCATTCATTCAAGTGCAAATTTGTCGTGTACTATAACGACGAAACGCTCGCTGGACAAAATAAATATCGCTGTTTATTGCAGGAAGCGTATGACGTTGTTGTTAGTGTGCCACGGCGAGCCAATGATCTGATGCATCTCGGCAATTTCGAGAATTACCAGGTAAGCGGTGGCTCATTTGCATGTGCAAGAGAGCGCATTTTATTTATAGCGTTTGAACGGGCATCAGTTTGACATCGTCAAGTT